ACGACTTCCTCACCAACAGCCACTCCTGCCTATCGCCTCTCTCGCCTCTGGTCAACGTCGACTCCGTCACCAACAGCGACAACTTCTAGATTCGTGGACTGATCGACTCGCCTCCGGTCAACGTTGAATTTCTCACTTCCTCCGGTTAGTGCTGTAACTCTTTACTTTTTTTTCTTTTTTTCCATTGTCTCAAAGACGAAGGCGAGAGGAGAGAGCCCTAGCCCTAGGGTCGGGTGAGTTTGAAATGGATTGGAGAGAGGGGGCAGAGTACTGGTATTGGGTATTTGTTTAGTTTATATATAGAGTTTGTTTTCAAAAGGTGGAGGAAGAAAAGTTTTTGTTATTTAATTAGGATTTTGGGAGAATGAATGTCGTGAGTACTATTGGGGGAGAGGCAAAGCTGATTTGTGATGAGTTGGCTGGCATTTGTGATGAGTTGATAACGGTCTTTTTATTAAACATATATGTTTTTTCATTCTTTAATATTTATAATTAGTCCTTTGTTAATATTATGTAATTATTACACATATATTTCATGTTTAGGCATCAATTATGCATTTGTAGAATTTTTAGATTTTTATATAAATTTTCTTATTATTTAGAATATTTAAATATATTTATATTTGACCGCTATTTGCTGCTATTTCGCCGCAATAGCCTTAGCGGTACCTCGCCGCGCCGCGCCGCGATCCGCTATCAGCAACCTTGATTACTATTATTACCGAACATCAAAAGTTCATAAAATTCTCCCACATCAGTAACAAAAAGATCTATAATCCAACAAATTTTATAAAAAATTTGCTAACAACGAAATCCTTAAGTTACCAAACTACCTAGTAATCCTCAAGTTATCCAAGTCAATGCCAATAATTGGACAAATTGCCAAACAATTTTTAGTTCATAGCGTTTTTGATTATTGTTGAGATTTTCTCCGGTTTCGGAGCCTTTTTCTTTTGATGCAGCCACTGCATTTTAATCTCTTGTGATTCCTATTAACTTTATGGATAAAATTTACTGCTTCATTACTTAGTCTAATACCAAAGAATGTTTTTTTTGTGGTTAGCGGACTAACTTGGAAAGATTTTGGACATTAAGTTTTTCTAAAGAAAAGATGAATGTATAAAAAATTATTGGTTAAACGAATATTTTTCAAACTGAATCAAAGTAAAAGTCTTCATCTGAGCAACTTTTAATACACGTTTAAATATAAATAATTAAATAGAATCCTAACAGTCAATTAATGTATTTGCTTAGTTTCATTTCATTGCTACATGGGTTGGCAGTGGATATTGGGTCAAAATGGATGCAAATGTATCGAATATGTTCTATATGAAAACCTTTGTTTACTCATTGGTAATAATACACAAAATGATTTGACTATTATCACATCATCCCTTTTTTCAGGTGAAGATAACATTGTAACACACTTGGGAGTTTGACGCAATGGATGATGGAAAGAAGTTTGGAAGAGGTAATAACCGAGTTTCTACTAGGATTCGATTGACGTTTTTATATTGATAGGTTATTGCATTGTTCATGTATTAGTTTATTATTTCTTGGTATGGCATTTTAGTCTCATCACTTGTATTCTTTTCTTTTCATGACTGAAATGGGTATATTGTGATAGCTCAACAGGTCAAGACTCGAGATACGATCTGAAGCCAAACTCATGTAGTTTGATTGTTAGAAAGTAAGGGGCCGTATAACACGATAATGACGGTGATAATAAAAGACTTTTCCCAAATCTTTGAAGTGCATGTCTGTTTCTCCATTTTGCTTTGCATCTCTGTTGAATTAGTAGTACCTTTTAACCATCTCAATTCATTTTTACTTAGACCCTATTCTTAGATTCTGTCAGACTTCTAAATTGGTGTGCTTATTTATCTCCTGTGTGCATTTCCAAATCATCCCAACCTATTTCCCTCTATTTTGTTCTGTTGACGCTATCCCTAACTTATTCTGGATACAGTCATACTTAATTTCTGAACTTCTAACCTATAAAACATTGCTTGTTATGTGGTCTATTTATATATATAAACTAATGAAGGAGTTTGAATTATATGTGTGTGTGTGCGTGCATGACACTTCTACACCCAGCCACCCATGCCCCACATCTGCACCTACACCAGTACCCACCCACACTGTTATATTTTGATTTGCCTAAGCACACTGTTAAATTGAAATAACTAATCTCCTGAAATTGTTATTTTGCTTAAACATCAATTTCTCAGCTAGAAACATGATACCCTTGGCTTAACTAAGACAAAATTTTGTTTGTGTGTTCACGCAGAGAGGGAGGGAGGGCACCACAAATTGTCTATGATGAACACACATTGTTGGATAGCATCGAGCTTAGTTAACCCAGGGATATCATGTTTCTAGCGGAGATATTGATGTTTAGGCAGATTAACAATTTCAGGAGATCAGTTATTTTAAGCCAAGGGTTGTATAATCTATGTTAAAGTGGTTATTAGTTGGTCAATGTAGTAGCATATGTCAGCTTGACTTCTTGAGCTTCATGTCTTTGCTGATTTTAGATTTCGTTTGTAAACTTGGTGTTGAGTCCGTGAACTTCATTTGTTTGCTAGTTTTAGGTTGTGCGTGTAAGATTTGTCATGACTCTATGGACTTCTATGTGTTGTATCGGAAGTTAGTGTTTTAATTCTAAATATCATTGATGTTTCAATGTAACTTAAATGTAGGAGATTGACTTCTCAAAAATTTTGACGTTTGATCTTGTTAAAATTGGCCGACTTTCAATGTTTCACAGTGATCTGATTACTAATGTTCTCTCAGAAAGGTTGTGGGCTGACTTTTTATCAGTATAAGTTCTAACAGGCCACTTTATAAATTGCCAGGACCTAGGGAGCTTACAGGTGCTGTTGATCTTATAAGTCACTACAAGTTGGTTGCTCACCATGACTTTTTTTGCAAACGATCATTGCCCTTGTCAATTTCGGATACACACTACCTTCATAATGTTGTGGGAGACACAGAAATCAGGAAGGGAGAAGGGATGGAGCTGGATCAACTCTTTCAGACTGCTCCATACTTGAGGGAGACAACAGCTCATATACAGCCTTTTGACTTGGACTCTCTCGGCCAAGCTTTTCAGCTGCGGGACGCAGCCCCCATTGATTTGCCTTCGGTATAAGATCGAGCGTCACATTAGCTTTCCGTGATTTTCTTTCTATCAGCGTTAACAGGACTAAGCCCATGTCTATGTATTTTCAGGCAGAAAAAGGGATACCTACAATTAGTGGGAAATCCAAAAGCAACTCCAAGGACAAGGAGAGAAAACATAAGAAGCACAAGGATAAAGACAAGGACAAGGACAGGGAGCATAAGAAGCATAAACATCGTCACAAAGATCGGAGTAAAGATAAAGATAAAGAGAAGAAAAAGGATGGTGATCACTCAAAGAAGCATCACGATAAGGTATTTGCGTGCCTGTTTTTCTTTCGACATTTATAGTTACATGTAGGCACCGTTGAGTTTTTCTCATTTTATTATAACTTGAACTGTTTTCTTTTTTTAGAAGAGGAAGCATGAGGGTAGTGAAGATCCCTTGGACATTCACAAGCACAAGAAGAGTAAGGTGGAAGACTACCCTTTATATGAATAGTTCAATTGCAGCTGAACTGCCCAAGGCCTTTGTGTATTTGATTCTTTCAGCTGTCATAAACCACCAACTTTTCTGGGTTCTTAAAAATGCAACCTCCATTTTTTTATATTATTTTCAGCATAAAAGTTTGAAGGTTGGAGAGGTCGGAGGATAAAGATCGCATTCCTTTCAACTTATCTGCTCATTCAATATTATGTCTTCAAAAACGTTGGAAGTGATGTTGCATTTTTTTTCTCGTCTTGGAGGCAAATTCTTGAGGTATAAGCTCTTTTATCTTGACCTGAAACTTTGCTGCATTCATAGAATTGTATTTCTCTAGTTCTTTAGTTATGCATACGGTAGAAAAATGTTTTGTTCTTTTGATAACATGTGCAAGGTTCCCACTTGAAACTTGTTAAAAAAATATATTATTCAATATTACTCAACCCTTTTTACTTTTGACTGTAGTTTCGTTATTTCCTATACTATAATCGTGACAGTCCACCAGTATATTTAAAGAACATATTAAGACCTCCATTGGCATTGAAAAACCTCTTTTACTTTTTACTTGTGGTTCAGAAAATTGGCTGGAACTTGACTAGGTGTCTATCATATTGAGACCTTAAGCTCCCTGTCTTTCTTGGGGTTGTGTTACCTGAACATATTAAGACCCGATAAAACCGATATTTAGAGCCTCCCTTATCGGCCGATAAGTACTTTTATCGCCGATAACTCACCGATAAACCCCAAAAAAACGATAAACGATTAAAAATCCTACTTATCCTAGCAGAAAACTCCCAAATCCGATAACTCGGCGATAATTTCGGATTATCGGTCGATATTTAAAACCATGCAAGAAACTACACAATATAGCATGTAACTAAGATTGCAAAAGAAATATATGGTTATAAATAAAAAGATCTCCAAAAACACAGAGTACAACTACATCTATCTCATTGTTTTAAAGGCAATGCGCCTTAGTGCCTCAGGCGCTCAAGCGAGGCGATCTTGTAACTTAGTGCCTTGTGTATCGCCCTTTGTGTATGGCCAGGCGATGGAGGTTACTAAGGTGAGCACCTATTGGGCATCTTAAGAGCTCGCCTTGGCGCTTTATGACCTCACCTTGGCACCTTAGGCCCTTGCCTAAGGCATGTGATGCAACATGCGAAATGTTTCTTTGTTGCAAAATTTTGAGGGTGCGAAAGATGTCCGATAAAGTAAAGTTTATTTTTATTATTGAATTATTATGTTTCTTTTTCCTTGGTTGATTTGTTGCTATTTTTTGTTGTAATTATTATTTATATCATTTTCAAGATATGCCCCCAATTTGAACCTAAAATGCAAAGTTTACTACTTCATTTTCTCTGCTAGCAATTATTATTTAATATTATTATTCAATATTTGTTAGTAGATGGTTTATAACTGATTAGATTTGCGACTTTGAAAATTTGGCCGTGATTAATTTATCTTATAGCTATTTATTGATATTTACATATTATTTGTAATATTTATAAATTATTTTAATATTTATAGCCTTTGTTCACCTAGGCGATCACCTTTTTTGGTGCCTCTTGCCTTAGGCAGCATAGGACTTTATCACATTGACCTTACATTTTGCTTTTAAAACACTGATCTATCCACAAAGGAAATATAGTAAAAAATACAAACATAGTATGAAGAGATCATATGTGGCTCGAAGGAAAGTTTGAAACAAATAAACTACCTAAAATAACTAAAGCTGAAAGAAACTAAGAAGATAGAACGGTGATTACTACCGCTGGGTTTGTTCAGAATACTCTCAATTCTGCGAAGAAAGAACAGTTCTCGAGTCTGGAGTACGCAAACTCTAGGGGAGTAAGAAATTCCCAGCATGCATGCAAAATGAAGAAATTGTGCACATGTATGTGTATATGACAAATATGAAGAAAAGATAAAATCTAAATTAAAGGCAACCAAAATTAAAAATACTAACTGTGGATATCATGTAAAACACGACCACATATCACACTAGCACATTATGTTTTATTTGAACTAGAGAATATTTTCATGTATATAAGTCAGTTTCTCGTAAAACGTCTCAGAAACACGACTTCGTGTTTTTGACGCCTACAAATCTCTTTCATATTTTGCATGGATCCCTAGGTATCATCAATGGATAGAAAGTTTGGTGGATAGTCCACTTAAGTTGACATAAGAATCTCTCTCTCTCTCTCTCTCTCTATATATATATATATATATATATATCATTCTCCCTTTAAAAGAGGGAGTACTAGAAAAACTTTTCCTACCCCAAAATACCCTTCATCTATCATAAATATAACAAAGTTATCCCTTTTTTTTCTCGTTACGCAGAAATCAGAAAATCATGAGCCCTAAACCTTCGTTCATTTTATTCTTCATTCCGTCGGTTACGACTTCGCTCTGGCAACCATTCCATCGGTTACGATTTCGCTTTGACAAAGTCGTCCTTGTTTCATCAATTACAAAAGATGATTATTATTATCCTCATCATCACCAAACCTTCTCTGCCATCATCTCCTCAAATCCAGATTTTAGGCGTCGGTAAGGATCACGAAGGAAACTCATTGACGAAGTTTTTTATCAGAGAAAATATTCGGATATGATTTGATCCTTTTCTAATTTTGCTTATGATTTTTAAATTTCTTTCTCTATGCGCTTTATTTCTTGATTATTAGATTTTAAATAACATTAGCTATGGTATTTTCATATGTGAATGTTCTTAGATTTTCTAAATTTATTAATTCCATTCTGAAATATTCGCATACAGCCCCATTAAGGATCGACAAATAAAAAAAAAAACGTAATTCATCAATTGATTCATTGCATTTTAGAATTAAGACTAACACCAACCTAATTTTTTGGTCTAAAGCCATTTAATTTCTATGCATTAGAATTTAGTTTTTTATTGTACTGTAATTATTTTTTATGGCAATTAATATTTTTCTAATTTCTTTAGTTTTCATAAAGTATTTATAGGATTATGTTTAATAAGATACAATTAACCGAGAGCATAATAATTGTATAATGACACGATCTGACCTCATGATAATATTCAAAATTACATTTATTACTGTGCTTGAAGCTACAACTGTTGAAAACATAACATACAACACAGCGAAAATTACATATTATGTAGATTAATCAAAATTGAGTAAAATCTAGAAGAGTACCTGAAACGCTTTCCAAAATTCGTCGATAATCTATCCCAAGATCAATGCGAAATAGCTTAAGAGAAAAAACATCCAACTAAAATCCACCCGTCACCGAAGAGGAGCAATACTGAGAGATATAACTGAAGATGTCATGTATGCTCGTACCACTTATATACATTTTATATTCTCTGTCCAATTCCCTTTTATTAAACCCTGTATTTTATCGTTTATTAAAATGATTGTGCATGAAATGTCATGCACTAACCACAGGGTTACCTTGGACGGCCTCCGTTAAATTATGAAAAATAACCATGGTCTCGATCATGTCTAATCAAAACGGATGTATCGTGTTGTCGATGCTATAATAATAGTAGTAGTAGTAGTCAAGAGAAAACCTCATATCGGGATATCGATGTCGAGGGTGTAGCATGCTATGATAGCATGCTTGTAAATCACATTTTTGACGGAAGGCGTCTTCTTGCGTGGTGCATGGTCGGTCGTATTGAATATCGCTAGGTCATCAATCTAATATCATCACACAACATAATTTAACTTCGGAAAAAAATTATAGTTTGAAAACGAGTGTCAGGTTAAACGAATCTTTGTGCCTGGTTTGGGGTTCATGAAGGACCCAAATTATCTAGTTGAAGAAATGATGAGCATGGATCCGATCCCATGACCTTAGACAATATAGATAAGCCATCTGACCACTAGACCAAGCACATCTTTATGAAATAAGCTGCTGTAGAAACTTTTATAGCATCCAATTTCTGATTTCAAGAGTAACCTTTAAAAATAAATATTTAGAAGTAGCAGTTTGACAGTAAAAGATTAAAAAAAGAACCATAAAATACCTAATTGTACAAAACTTGGCCGAAAATAAATTTAATAATAATACAATTATGCAAAAAATAGGATAAGCTCATTGGAACTAATTCTTTTGTTAAAACCATTGGAACCTTAGGGAAAATATAATTTGGCTACTCTAGTAGCTTAAACTTTTGTAAGAATAAGATCTTTCAACGTCGAAGGATATTTCTTGAAAAATTAAATGTAGATTAGAAACCCTCAAGTTATAGCTATCGTTAATTTTGTAAAAGAAATATCTGTTCAAAATACGAGAAAACTTTCTAAAGATTTATAACTCGTATTTTGAAATTTTTAGAAACATGTAGTTACAACAAAATTCATATTATCCTAGCTGTGTGATACTTTGAAAAAATAATACTATCAAATTATTCTTATGTTCTAAACCATTAAGGAAAAATAAATAAATATTCTAAAAAGACTCAACATAACTTTATCTATATATACATGAACCATAAAATATGATCATTAGCTTTAAAAGCTCAACCAAAATGTCACCTCTTAGAAACTAACGCCAATAAACATCCTAATTCATATAGCAATGGTGAGCTGCACAGAAAAGGAGATTTATAACTAACTACCAAACCACGTCGCCATGTAAAAGCCTGGTGGAGTCATATTCATGAAAAATTCTCTCGGTAAAGCATAACAATAATTTCAACTACCTAATGCTAAGAAGATAAATTATCATCATACTCGATAGATAGATGTTTAATGTCTAGTGCAGGATCAAGTAAGGTCAGAAGGTATTTAAAATCTCAATACTAGGAAAGAAATGGCAAACTGATCCTCGCATGAACCCTAGGGATATAAACTTCCAAGTGAAAACAAAAAAATTCAAAGCAAATGAAAATATGCTTGCCTCAAAAGAGTAGATAATGAGGACAAGAAATGACAATATTTGATTAGTTGATATATTTTTGAATTTTAAATTTTCAAATTTCAAATTTAAATTTTAAAATTTAAAATTCAAAAATATATCAACTAATCAAATATTATCATTTCTTGTCCTCATTATTCTCCCCGGGTGGGAGAAAACTCGACTCCGTCGAGTTAACTGTAGAAACTTGACATCTTCAATATACTTTGTCTGCATCTTAATCTGCTATCAGTTATTTTTCTGCATCTCAAATCATTAGCTAGATTGCATTGTAAATTCACCATCTAAAATATTATCAAAATTCACTGCTGTATGGATGAATATATAGAAATGGAGTAAAGTGAAAGAACTCTCATAAA